ATTCTTAATTTAAAATTCTCTTTATATAATATTTTAAATTTAAATTTAAATTAATGAAATATTATTTAATAAATATTCAATTAAATTAATTATTAATTAATATTGATGAAATTCAAAAAATTATATTTATTAATTATATTTATAGAATAGATAGACTAAAATGTGATTTAATGACACATGTCATTTTACAAGTGAAACAAATATTTAAATAATATGAATCAATTTAAAATTATTTATTTTTATTCTGTTTTTTCTTAATATTCAAATAAATTTGATTAATTGTATTTGAAAGCATGTTTTAATAATAATAATGTTTCGAACTCCATAAATATATATAAATATAAATATTTATATAAATCATTACATGATTGACAATTATAATATATAATCATGATAATTAATTAATATAATTTTTCTCAAAATTTTTTATACTTTACTTTAGTGTTATGCAATTCATATTTGCCGCGCAAGATTTTACGTTGCGGAACCACAAAACTCTGATGATACACAATACCTATGAGTTTCTATTTTTGACAATCATGAAAAATTTCGTTCAATGGATATGCTGCTTAAAGTGCGCTTCTGCTTTATCTTCAAAGCGAGGTGTGGTTAATTGAAACGGATGAGCGTTAAATTTGAGCTGTGATTAAGATATATTTCTTTTAAATAAAGATAAAAGCAAAAACTAATAAGAATAAAAAATACACGATGCTTGGTCGTCTTCCTGCATGTGTGATCGACGTGGGTACGGGGTAAGAAATTAAAAAAATTATATTTGACTAGAATAGATAGATTAAAATGTGATTTAATGACACATGTCATTTTACAAGTGAAACAAATATCTAAATAATATCAATTTAAAATTATTTATTTTTATTCTGTTTTTTTTAATATTCAAATAAATATTTAAATAAATGTTAATAATTTAAATTTGTTTATTATATATATATATATATATATATATATTTAAAAAGTAATAAAATTATGTTATTAAATATTTCAAATAAACTTTTAAACTGAATTTAAATAAATAGTAGTAATGCATTAGTAGTAAAATTATTAT